GTTTGTTCCCATGATTGTGCAGGAGGTTTGTAGTTTGATATGATCTCATTTGCCTATTTTTGCTTTTGTTGCCTGTGCTTTTGATGTCTTAGCTAAAAAATCTTTGCTCAGATCATTGTCCTGAAGTGTTTTGCCTATATTTTCTTCTCATAGTTTCGTAGTTTCCAGTAGTACATTTATTTCTTTAATCTATTTTGAGTTGATTCTTTTTTTTTTTTTTGACAGAGTCTCACTCTGTCACCCAGGCTGGAGTGCAGTGGTACGATCTTGGCTCACTGCAACCTCCACCTCCCGGGTTCAAGTGATTCTCCTGCCTCAGCCTCCTGAGTAGCTGGGATTACAGATGCATGCCAAAGCACCTGGTTAATTTTTGTATTTTTCTTTTTCTAATAGAGATGGGATTTCATCATGTTGGTCAGGCTGGTCTCAAACTCCTGACCTCAAGTGATCTGCCCGCCTCAGCCTCCCAAAGTGCTGGGGTTATAGGCATGAGCCACTGCATCTGGCCTTGAGTTGATTATTGTGTAGTGTGAGATATAGAGGTCTAGTTTAATTCTTCTCTGTACATGCATGTCCAGTTTTTCCAGAACCATTTGTTGACGAGACTTTTGTTTCCCCAATGTATGTTCTTAGGGCCTTTGTTGAAAATCTCTCAACTATAGATGTGTGCATTTATTTCTGGGCTCTCTGTTCTGTTCCATTGGACTACATGTTTTTTTTGTTTTTTGTTTTTTGTTTTAATGCCAGAACCATGTTGTTTTGGTTACTATAGCTTTGTAGAATGTTTTGAGGTCGGGTAGTGTGATACCTCCAGCTTTATCCTTTTTGCTCAGAATTGCTTTGGCTATTTGAGGTATTTTTTGATTCCATACACATTTCAGAATTTTTTTTCTCTATTTTAGTGAAGAATGTCATTGGTATGTTGATAGGGATTGCAATGAATCTGTAGATCACTTTGCATAGTATAGTCATTTTAAACAATATATATTCTTTCAATATATGAATAAGGAATATCTTTCTGGTCTTGGGTGTCCATTTCAATTTCTTTCTTCAGAGTTTAACAACTTTTATCACAGAGATTTTTCACCTCCTTGGTTTAATTTATTCCCAGGTAATTTTTGCTGGCTATTGTAAATGGGATTGCTTTCCTGATTTCTTTTCAGCTAGACTATTATTGGTGTAGCTGTAAAAGCTGCTGATTTTTGTATGTTGATTTTGTATCCTGCAACCTTACTAAATGTGTCAGTTCTAAGAGTTTTCTGGTGGAGTCTTTAAGTTTTTGTAATGCAAATTTAAAGCGCAACGAGATACCATCTCATGTCAGTTAGAATGGCGATCACTGAAAAGTCTGGAAACAACAGATGTTGGCCAGGACGCTGAGAAATAGGAATGCTTTTACACTGTTGGTGGGAGTGTAAATTAGTTCAACCATTGTGGAAGACAATGTGGCGATTCCTCAGGGATCTAGAACTAGAAACACCATTTGACCCAGCAATCCCATTACTGGGTATATACTCAAAGGATTATAAATCATTCTACTATAAAAACATATGCACACATATATTTACTGCAGCACTATTTATAATAGCAAAGACTTGGAATCAATCCAAATGTCCATCAGTGATAGACTGGGTGAAGAAAATGTGGCACATATACACTATGAAATACTAACAGTCATAAAAAAGGATGAGTTCATGTCCTTTGCAGAGACATGGATGAAGCTGGAAACCATCATCCTCAGCAAACTAACGCAAGAACAGAAAACCAAGTACTGCCTGTTTTAACTCATAAGTGGGAGTTGAACAATGAGAACACATGGACACAGGGAGGGGAACATCACACACTGGGCCTGTTGAGGGGTGGGGGGAGAGGGGAGGGAGAGCATTAGGACAAATACGTAATGCATGCAGGTCTTAAAACCTAGATGACGGGTTGATAGGGGCAGCAAGCCACCATGGCACATGTATACCTATGTAACCAACCTGCACGTTCAGCCCATGTATCCCAGAACTTAAAGTAGAAAAAAAAAATTATATCATCACAAACAGGACCCATTTGACTTTCTTCTTTCCAATTTGGATGCCTTTTATTTCTTTCTCTTGCCTAATTGCTCTGGCTAGGACTTCAGTAGAGGTTGAATAATAGTGGTGAAAGTGGGCACCCTTGTCTTGGTCCAGTTCTTAGAGGAAAGACTTTCAACTTTTCCCCACTCAGGATAAATGTCAGCTGTTTGTTTGTCATATGTGACCTTTATTGTGTTGATGTACATTCCTTCTGTGTCCAGTGTGTTCAAAGTTTTTATTATGAAGGGATGTCGAATCTTATCAAATGCTTTTTAATGCATCTATTGTGATGATCATGTGATTTTGGTCTTTCATTCAGTTGATATGACACATTACATGTACCAATTAGCATGTATTTAATCATGGGTTCAGTTCTGCAAGGAACTTTCCACAGTGGCCGGACCATTTAATTTTCACACCTGCAATGTATGAGACTCCCAATTCCTCTGCATCATCAACAACACTTTTTACTTTCTGTTTTTGAAATATGACCATCCTAGTAGGTGTGAGGTGGTATCTCACTGCGGTTTGTTTGCATTTCCCTAATGACTAATGGTACTGAAACATCTCTTCATGTGCTTGTTGTACACTGTACACCTTCTGTGTAGAAACACCTGTGCCAGCACTCTGACTATTTTCTAACTGGCCGTTTGTTGTTCTCGATGTTGTTGAAGATATTCTTTGTATATTCTGGTGGATAGAATAGATCCTTATTGGATATATAATTTGCAGTGTTTTTTCAGTTTTGTAGGCCATTTTTCACTCTGTTGATAGTGTCTTTTGGTGCACAAAAATGTTAAATTTTGGTAACGTCTCATTGATTCATCTTTTTTCTCGTTGCTTATGCTATTAGTGCTTTATTTAAAAAGTGATTGTCAAGTCCAAGGCTGTGAAGATTTACCCCCACGTTTGATCATTTCAGCTGTAATTTCGATTTATTTTAACTTTGTGTTTAGTCTAAGGGTCCAGTTTCATTATTTTTCTTGTAAATATCCCATTTTCCTAACACCATGTGTGGAAGGGGCCATTTTTTTCCAGTTGAATGATATTGGCAGCCTTGATAAAAGTCAATTGATCATGTAGATGGATTTTTTTCTTGTCTTTCCGTTCTATTCCATGCACCTGTGTGTCTGTTCTCATGCCAATACCAGATAGATTTCATTGTTGTAGCTTTTAATAAATTCTGAAATTGAGAAGAGTGAGATCTACAACTTTGTACTTTTATTAAAAAAGTTGCTATTCTATGTAATTTGCAATTCCACATGAATTTTCCATTTCTTAAAAAAAGGCACTGAATTTTTTTTTTTTTTTTTTGATGGAGTCTTGCTCTGTTGCCCAGGTTGGAGTGCAATGGAGCAATCTCGTCTCACCACAACCTCTGCCTCCAGGTTCAAGCGATTCTCCTGCCTCAGCCTCCTGAGCAGCTGGGATTACAGGAGTGCACCACCACGCCTGGCTAATTTTTGTATTTTTAGTAGAGATGGGGTTTCACCACGTAGGCCAGGCTGGTCTCGAACTCCTGACCTCATGATCCGTCAGCCTTGGCCTCCCAAAGTGCTGGGATTATAGGCATGAGCCACTGCACCCGGCCAGGCATTGAAATTTTCATGGGGGTTTCACAGATTCTGATGATTTCATAAAAAATACTGGCATCCATACAATACTAAACCTTCCCGTTTATGATCCTCAGATGACTTTTCACTTATTTAGGTCTTTGAAAATTTCTTTGACCGATATTTTAAATTGTCAGTGTATAAGTATTGCACTTTTTTTGGTTAAATGGATTTCTATGTGTATTTTTCTTTTAGGTACTATTATGAGTTGAATTGTCCCCCAAAAAGATATGTTGAAATTCTCAGCCTGATTACCTATAAACGTGAACATATTTGGAGAAAGGTCTTTGCAGACACGTTCAGGTTAAGAAGATGAGATCGTAATCAAGTAGAATAAGCCCTCATCGTATTTGACTGATACTATTGTTTGAAGACGAGAAGATACCCAGAGAGAAGAATACCAGGTGAAGACAGAGGCCCACAGGAGGAAGCCTTGTGAAGAGGGAGGTAGAAATTGGCATTATGCTGCCTCAAACCAAGGAATGTCTGACCACCAGAAGGTAGGAAGAATCATTTAAGAACTCTTCCATAGAATCTGTTGATATTGTCATTTTGTATTGGATTTTGTTTGTATGTTTGTTTGTTTTTGATGGAGTCTCGCTCTGCCGCCCAGGCTGAAGTCCAGTGGCACAATCTCAGCTTATTGCAACCTCCACCTCCTGGGTTCAAGTGATTCTCCTGCCTCAGCCTCCCGAGTAGCTGGGACTACAGGCAAGTGCCACCACACTCGGCTAATTTTTGTATTTTTGGTAGAGATGGGGTTTCACCATGTTGGCCAGGCTGGTCTCAAACTCCTGACTTCAAGGGACCCACCTACCTTGGCCTCCCAAAGTGCTGGGATTACAGGCATGAGCCACCACGCCCGGCCTAAAAAATGTGTTTTTCAGAATTAGCACACCTTTGGGTTGTGACTTGAAATGCCAGTGTGATGATTCCAAGTGGTGATATTTCAGGAGAAACTACACAGATAGCATCTGATAAGGAGGGAAGGGCTCATAGGGTCCACATAGGAGGTGAGGGCATCATGGTGCATTTATCTTTTCCTGGTGGGAATCTGATCTTCTCCCATTGAATTAGCTCCTAAACCAGGTGTGAAACTCTGAACGGAAGACATGAAGACCCAATAAAGTACACCAGGAAGTGTCACAATGAGAAATGAAGAGGACTGTGTGACATGCCATGGACCAGAGCACGCAGGTGTGCAGAGGTGTGGACCCAAGACTGCCCTGTGGGATGTAGCCTCATGTCTAAGGATGGGAAAAGAAGTGGATCCAACCAAGGAAAGTCAACATTAATGGAGAAGAAAGGTATCACATTTTAATGGTTCTCCATGGATTACCCCAGAAAATGTCCCTGCACTCAAACATTGGTTCCTTCCTCTAGAAACGAGCAGCAGACAATCCAGATAGCATTGGCCCTAGATTTTCTTCCAGAACCTCCTGGGATCATCAGATCTGTTCCTGAGGCTTCGTGACTCCGAAAGGTCCATTATCCTCTCTGTTGTTCACCTCCCGGCTGCATCTTGGGAAGCTTCTCCAGCTATGCCGAGCCTCAAATAACAGAATCCCGAGGACCACCAGGACCAAGCCAGCCACGCCCATGCGGATGAGATTCTCCACTGTGTAATCCTGGGGGTGCGAGGCTGGGGATGGTGGGCAAAGAAGTCACAGAGGTCAAGGTGGATCAGAATCAGCCTAGGATCCCTGGATGTCCACCCAGGTCACCCACCTCCCCTTCACAGGACCCAATCCTCTGTGCCAGCCCCATAACTGAGAGCATCTCCTGACACATCAGTCTCAGAGTCAGACTCGTTTTGTGCTGGGCTGAGCGTATCAGCAGCTCCTGAGAACCAAAACAGAGGGAAAGAGGCTTAAGCTGAGCCTTTGAGCTCAGAGAGAACAGGGTCAGGGCCCTCACCTGAGACCACGAGCTCCAGTGGGTCACTGGGGGGAGACAGCAGATGGGGGTTGGAGCTGCGTGAGCCGTAGCACCTGTAGGTTCCCGCGTGGGCTGTCGTCACAGGACTCATGGGGAATTCAGCCTGGTACATAGGAGCTTCGTGCTTTGATCTCAGATGCAGCGGGGGATGCGCTGCCCCCTCCTTGGTCAGAAGGAAAGTGTCCATCCACTCTTGTGATTGACACAGCAGGGTCACCTTCTCTCCTGAGACCACCGTGGGCCACAACTGCACCAAGAGGGAGGGTCTGGCACGGATCTGTCCTGGAGAGAAGACAGATGGATGAGGGGCTGCCCCACCTTGTTCTGAGCTGAGACCTCCCCAGGCCTCTCTCTGGGACCCTCAGTCTCTGTCTCTGTTTTTTCTGAGTGTCTCCCTCCCCCTCATTCCCTCTCTCTATCTATCTCTCCTTCCCCTCCATTCTGGCCATCACCACCTGGGCTCCCCCAGCAGGGCCTGTGCAGAGCCTGGATCCCTGATTGAACCCGCTGGGCTCCTCACCTGCTATCAGGATGTCCAGGGGGTCACTGGGGGCCGACCACTCGGAGGAGAGGTTGTGTGCACCGTAGCATCTGTACTGGCCCCCGTGGGAGCCCCTCACAGGGCCCAGGGTGAAGTTGGCCTGGGAGAGCCCGGCCTGGGACTGCTGACCAGGGCGCTGGAGAAAGGTACGTTGCCCCGCCTTGTGCAGAGTGAATCTGTCATAGTCCACATCAGAGCGACACTGGAGGGTCAGATTCTCTCCAGGGGCCACGACAGGGCCCTGCAGGGTCAGGAGGGAGGGCTTCCTAGACACGCCTGGAGGGAAAGAGGAGCCGGGACTCAGAGGGCTGGTTCCTCCCACGCCCCTTCCTTCTCCCGTCCTGGCCCTGCAGGTCTCACTGTCTCTCACTCTGAGTCTCTGACCCCCGGGCCTCCTTCTCACCCGGGGCTGTCTTGGAGTCATTTCCGAGGAGTGGGGTCTCCCTAGCCCTGGCCCCTGTGCCTGATCCTTCCTCCTCTCCCTGAGAGCCGGGACCTCACAGCAAACACACCGGTGCCTCCCTGAGTCCTCCCCTTCCAGGTGAGGGTGGCCGAGGCCTCCTCCTCCCATGCCAGAGCCTCCCCATGGGGTCTCCCTCACGCCTGCAGCCCGTCCGTCCACACATCACTCTGGGTCCTTTCCAGAGTCAGTCACCAGCCAGACTCCCAAGCCTGTCAGCTGCCCCGAAAGTGTATTAGAGAAGGCCGTGGTCCCTCACCTGAGGCCAGAATCTCCAGGGGGTCACTGCGGTGGGACCACACCTGGGAGGTGTTGCTGTAGTATCCATAGCATCTGAACGTCCACCTGTGGCTGGGGGTCACGGGGCCCACAGGGAACAGGGCCTGGAACTGCCCACTGTGGAGCTGCTGTGAGTCCAGGGTCCGGGGGAGCCTGTGTTCTCCTTCCTCAATCAGAACAAAATGCTGATATCCCCGCTGTGAGCCACATCGGAGGGTCACGTTCCCTCCTGAGGCCACCACAGGGCTGGGCAGGGCTGAGAGGGTGGGTTTGTTGTAGGCTCCTAGGAGAGAAGGAGGCACCGTGTTTAATGGGCTCCCACCTCCCACATCATCCCCAGGGCTGGGCTGTGAGAGGGAGACGCCCCTGAGAGCCGACCCCCTTCCTGAGGGCAGAGCCTGGGGCTGGGACCCCTGAGTGTCCTCTCACCTGTCACCACCAGCTCCAGGGGGTCGCTGGGCTCTGACCAGCCTGTAGGGCTGTAATAGTAACAGTGAAATCTCCCTGCATGGTGCTCTGTCGTGTATGGGATGGAGAATCTGGCCTTGTTCTTGGGCTCCAGTGGTTTCTGTGTGTCCCGGGGCTCTGTGCCTCCCTCTTTATACAGACGGTACTCCTGGGCCTCCAGGTTCCCCCGACACCAAATGGTCACGGGGCTCCCCCAGATGATCACAGAGCCTGGCTCAGCCCAGAGGGTGGGTTTGGGGAGGGGCCCTGGAAGGAAATCAAAGCCTGGATCCCAGGACCTTCCCCACCCGTCAGGTCATCCCAGCTCCCTGCCCAGATCTGCTGTCTCCATCCCCAGCTGTCCAGGGTGAGGAGGAGGGACTTGGGAGAGCTGGGGACAGACTCACCTGCCTGCACGTGGGTTCTGGGGCCCAGACTCAGCCCTGGAAGAGAGTTCTCTGTGAGAGATTTGCCCCTGAAGCCCGAGCAGGTCCTCCCCTGCCTGGGAGCTGCCTAAAGCCCTGGGATCTCTTGATAGGCCAGGGCCTGTGGGATTTCCTCTCTCCTCTTCAGATCTCACCAAAGCAGAGCAAGGCTGTGAGGGTGGGCGTCATGGCGTCTCCTCTGTCTCCTTTCAGCTTTGCAAATGGATGAGACCTCAGTGCTGGCAGGACAGAGACACACACAGGGTGTGGCCCCTCAGAGGCTGGGTCCTTCTTATCGGGGGGGTTGTCTCATCCTCAGCCCACAGGAACAGAAACTGCCCTCCCCCGGAGCCTGGCTCTCATTTCCCCAGGGCTGAGGTGGGGGCGGGCACCAGGCTCTCTGCAGACATTTCAGAGAGAAATGGGGTCTCCCCGTCCCCGGGCCACTGTCTGCCTGATTTATCTTTACCTCACTGAGGGCCGGGACACAGCAGCAAATAGACCTGGTGCCTTCCTGAGTCAGCCGCTTTCAGGCGAGGGCGACCGTGGGCTTCTCTTCCCTTCAGAGCCTCCCCATGGGGTCTCCCTCCCTCCTTCAGCCCGTCCATCGGCTCAGCGTCGCGGGGTCCTTACCATGGCAGTCGTCTCTCCAGCCCTGGAGATGCTTCAGGGAAGATGCAGGTCCACGCTGAAGGCAGACCCAGGTCAGCAGAGACACACCTGACACCGGGCTGTGCAGCCCAGGCTGAGCTGTGAGTGGCAGTGAGAACACAGGAGAAACGCAGGGAATAAAGATAATAAAACGTATGTTTTTCTGTCCCTGGAGTGTGTGTTTCTTTTCTCCCAAACAGTCCCTTTCTTTTCCCTTCAAGAACAATCCCTTTCTTTCTACCAAACTTCCCTTCTCTCTTTTTTTTCCTTCCCTTCTTTCTTCCCTCCTTCCCTCCTTCCTTCCCTCCTTCCCTCCTTCCTTCCTTCTTCCTCTTCCTCTCTCCCTTCCTCTCTCCCTCCCCCCTCCCTCCCTCCTTCCCTCCTTCCTTCCTTCCTCTCCTCTTTCCTTCCTTCCCTCCTTCCTTCTTTCCCTCCTTCCTTCCTTCCCTCCTTCCTTCCCTCCTTCCCTCCTTCCTTCCTTCCTCTCCTCTTTCCTTCCTTCCCTCCTTCCTTCCTTCCCTCCTTCCTTCCTTCTTCCTCTTCCTCTCTCCCTTCCTCTCTCCCTCCCCCCTCCCTCCCTCCTTCCCTCCTTCTTTCCTTCCTTTCTTTTTGCAGCAGCCTCCACCCCCACCCATCCCTGAGAACAAACCTCTAAGTCATTCCTGCCTCCTCAGTGCCCCTCACTTCCTGGGCCATCCTCTGTGCCTTAATCCACGTTTGAGGTTTTTGGAGCAATTACATTAGGTTTAAGCTCTGATTTCGGACGCTGGGTTGGGAGATGACTTTTATTTAGTTCCTGATTATCATCCCCTGCCTGTGTGACCTTGGGCAGTAATATCCCATCCTTGAGCCTCAGTTTCCTCGTTTGGAGCCTGTTGTCATGAACCCCACTCATCACAGTGTCCGTGGAGGGCAGCGGTGCCCAGGACAAGGGAGGGGCTCAGTCTCAGCCATGGTGAATTTCCAGATGAGTTAAGACAGGAGGGTTAGGACGGGAGAGGATCCTGATGTTGGGCTCCACCGTGGAGCATTGATGCTGCCATCAAGAGCCCACATTGGCTTTGAACACCGAGAAACCTACGTACGATATTTCCGAATCATGTAGTCACGGTCTTACGTAGAAAAAGTTAAATAACAAATTCCTGAAATAGACAGGGTGCCATAAGACAGATCATAGACCAGAGCTGAGGGACCACTGATGCCTGGGACCACCCAGGGCCCATTAGCGGGGGAGATTTCCACCTCTGTGTGGCACAGAAGAGGAACCCCAGGTCCTCACAGACACGAAGGAGTCAGGGCTCTGGGTGAGGCTGGAAACTGTGGTTCCTCCTCCCCTGTGTGCATGGACAGGCGCTGGAATATCTCTGCTCATTGACCTGGGTCCAGGGTCCACACTGGATCATCTCCCTTTTTTGTGTGAAACAGATTCACTGTAACATGGTCAGATACGGGCATCTGTCCCACGTGTGAGTGTGAGGTTCACACTAGACCCTCCCGTGCTGGGCAAGACCCTAAGCAGATGACATATTTGGAGAAGTAGAGGTCATGCAGCAGGGACAGCCGGAACAATCCCCTCTTTTTCAGTCTGACTCCCAGGAGAGCACTAAGAACTACCTTGCATGGACAGTTAGGTGTGTAAGAAATGAACCATTCGACAAACACGGACAGCAAAGAGTAACCCCCGTAATGATGAGAAGCACCACCAACGGCAACCTATTGACTCATTAAGGTTTATTATGTATTTTCAGATAGCTAGAAAAGAGGATTTTGAATGTTTTCAACACAAAGAAACGATAAATGTTTGAAATGGCGGATATGTTAATTACCCTTATATAACCATTACATTATATACATGTGTTGCAATATCAACTCTATACCCTACAAATATATACGATTATTGTGTGTCAATTAAAAGTTATAATAAAAAGACACACTTCATCCCAGCACTCTGGGAGGCCAAGGCAAGCGGATCACTTGAGCCCAGGAGTTCTAGCTATTTGAAAATATACAATAAACTCAAAACCACGATGAGATACCATCTCATGCCAGTTAGAATGACCATCATTAAAAAGTCAGGAAACAACAGGTGCTGGAGAGGATGTGGAGAAATAGGAACACTTTTACACTGTTAGTGGGAGTCTAAATTAGTTCAACCATTGTGGAAGACAGTGTGGCGATTCCTTAAGGATCTAGAACTAGAAATACCATTTGACCCAGCCATCCCATTACTGAGTATATACCCAACAGATTATAAATCATGCTACTATAAAGATACATGCACACATACGTTTACTGTGGCACTATTCGCAATAGCAAAGACTTGGAACCAACCCAAATGTCCATCAATGACAGACTGGATTAGGAAAATGTGGCACATACACACCATGGAATACTATGCAGCCATAAAAAAGGATAAGTTTATGTCCTTTGCAGGGACATGGATGAAGTTGGAAACCATAATTCTCAGCAAACTATCGCAAGGACAGGAAACCAAACACTGCATGTTCTCACTAATATGTGGGAGGTGAATCATGAGAACACATGGACACAGGGTGGGGAACATCACACACCAGGGCCTGTCGGGGGTGGGGGGCTGGGGGAGAGATAGCATTAGGAGAAATACCTAATGTAAATCATGAGTTGATGGGTGCAGCAAACCAACATGGCACATGCATACCTATGTCACAAACCTGCACGTTCTACACATGTACCCTAGAACTTAAAGTCTAATAAAAAATAAAGTTAAAAAAAGAAAATATACAATAAGCTATTGTTAATTATAGTCACCTTACAGTGCTATAGGATACAAGAACTTATTTCCTCCCTCTAGCGGTAACTCTGTATCCTTTAACCAGCCTTTCCCTCCCCCTCTCCCCACCGTTCCCAGCCTCTAGTTACCACAGCTCTGCTCTCTGCTTCTGAGATCGACTGTTTTAACTCCCCAGATGAGTAAGAACATGCTACCTTTGTCTTTCTATGCTTTGCTTGTCTCACTTAATAGAATGCTCCTGCAGGCTCATCCACGTTGCCACAAAGGACAGGATTTCATTCTTTTAAATGACTGGATAATATTCCATTGTGTAGATGTCCCACATTTTCCTTGTCCACTCATCTGTACATGGGCACTTAGGTTGCTTCCAAATCTTGGTTATTGTGAATAGTGCTGCAATAAACACAGGGGTGAAGCTATCCTTTCAATATACTGACTTCCCTTCCTTTTGCTCTATACCCAGAACTGGGATGGCTGGGTCGTAGGGTGGTTCTCTTTTTAGTTTTACGAGGAACCTACGTACTGTTTCCTGTAATGACCACACTCCTTCTCGTTCCCTTCAACAGTGCACGAGAGTCCCCTTTTCTCAGCGTCCTAGCCACCACTGGTTATTTTTTGTCTTTTTGATAACGGCCATTCTAAGCGGTGATAAGGAAGTGCTGGGAAGGGAAGGGTGGAGTCCCTTTAAATCATACAGAAGGGGGAAGGGAAGTGCTGGTCAGAGGAGGGAGTGGTCCCTGACTAAGGCTCTACCCTCACAGACCTAGGTGAGGACGGGCATTTCCTGCCCCAATGTTGCATTTCCCAAGACCACCCTGGGCTGCCACGCCCCCATCCTGTGCCTAGAAAACCCCTGAGACCCTAGCATGCAGACACACAGACTCCTGCACGTTGACAGGAGTACCTCGGTGGAGGAACACATGGGTGGCTGGATATGGAGAGGAAGGCGCTGGCAGGCACCGGCACACCGTCAGGCCACTGACCAGCAGAACGACAGGAGTTTGGCCAGGGCAGTGGGCGCAGCTCTGAAGCCCAGTGGGCGTGGTGTTACCATGTGCCTTTTAAGTTCAGCCGTCCGCAGACAGCTTGTGTAATCGGCTCAGTCAGACCCCCACCTTATCGCAAGCACAGAGAGCTTCCTGTATCCCAGGCTGCTTGCCTTGGTGTACCAAGATTCAGATCACATGTGGCTCGGAGAACGAGTGCAAGGTTTTATCCTGACGTAGAAGCT